GCATCAAGGTTGGAAGTGATGAGGGAGACACCAGTTCCAGATCATCCCCACTGGCTCCAGTCTCCTCATGGGCTCGATTTTGTCCCAGCATTCTTCCTCAACTTCTTATCTGGCTGACCACAGTGAATTTAGGCTCGACAACAGAAGCAAAAAAAAAAAAACAACAGACTGCACCGCCTTGCTGCCCCAGCTCCCACAATTGTGGGTGGCCACCACTCCATAATAAATCCTTCATCTGTCTCACTTAGAGACTTCTCTGGTCAAGCTCTGGCCCATACGGTATCCACTGTAAGCGACAGACATACTTCTCTCCTCTGCGTCCAGAAAGGTACCGGTCCTTGAGAGGATTGAGGAAATAGCCCCTCAACTCATTTTCTGTCTTCTGTGGTTCCCGTGAGCAATCTTGGTTGAGAAGGGCTGTAGGTGATGGAAAACTCAGTAGGTGGCTCTTGGAGAAGCTAACAGAATGCTAGTCAAGGAAGTTAGAGATGTCCCCGGGGAAGAGGGAAGAGAATGGTTTGGAGGATCAACAGGCCTAGGGACTCACTTCAATGTCTGGTGGTCTGTGGGCTATGGAAGAAAACTCAGCCAGGACTGGTAACTGTAAAGTGGAAGCTGTACCTAGGAGGGCCAGCCAGCTGGGCTCCCCCACTCTCCCCTTCCCCCCCCCCGCCACCACACACACCCCAGCTTTATTGACATATGATTGACATATAACATTGTATACATTTAAAGTGTACAATGTGACAATTTGATAAACATATATTATGCAATGTGTACCACAATAAGGGTAGTTAACACAAACTTCACCTCATGTAATTACCATTTGATTGCTATTATTAGGGTGAGAAGATAAAAACTTTACTTTTATAGCAACTTTCAAGTATTTAACACCGTTATTATTAACTACAGTCACCATGCTGCCCCTTAGATCCCCAGAACTTACTTATCCTGTAACTGAAAGTTTGCCCCCTTTGACCAACGTCACCCCATTTCCCCAACCCTCAGGTCCTGGCAACCACCATTCCACTGTTCCTATGAATCTGGTTTTTTAAGACTCCACACATAAGTGACATCATACAGTATTTGTCTTTCTCTGTCTGACTTACTTCACTTGTCATAATGCCTTCAAAGACTATCCATGTTGACACAAATGGCAAGATTTCCTTCTTTTTTGTGGCTGAGTAATATTCCATTATATATATATATATACACACCACATTTTCTTTATCCATCCTTTGTCCATCAATGGATACTTAGGCCCTTTCCATACCTTGGCTATTGTGAATAATCCTGCAATGAACATGGGTGCAGGTATCTCTTTGAAATACTGATTTTGCTTCTTTTGGATATATGCCCAGAAGTAAGATTGCTGCATCATAGGGTAAGTCTACTTTTAATTTTTTGAGGAACTTCCATACCGTTTTCCACAGTGGTTGCACCCATTTATATTCCCACCATCAGTGCATGAGGGTTCCCTTTTGTCTACATCCTGGCCAGCATTTGTTACCTCTCGTTTTTTTGATGATAGCCATCCTAACAGGTGTGAGGTGAGTGTTCTTTGTAGTTTTAATTTGCTTTTCCCTGATGATGAGTGATGTTGTGCGCCTTTTCATGTATTTGTTGGCCATTTGTATATCTTCTTTGGAAAAATGTCTATTCTAATTGTCTGTCATTTATATGCATATTTTTGCATATACATGTAGTTTGCAAATATTTTCTCCTATTCCCTAGGTTTCAGCTGGGTTTTAGTTAGAGCAAGAATGTGAAGGTCCAGCCCAGAAAGCAGGTTGAAGATACAGGAAATTTAGGGGAGAACACATTGAGAGTGCCACTGGAAATGGGGTATTTTCAGGCAGAGGGTTGCTCATGATGAGAATTATGTCAGTTTAAGAGATATACAGAGTAATACAGGGATTAGTGGCTGGGTGATGAGAGACGCCTTGGAAGTCTGGTGGTTATGAATGAAAACCTGGATGTCAGACACAGTGGTACTCATGGTCTCGGGGACTTCTGGGAAAGGGGGTTCATTCATTCTCCTAGCTCATCCAAACTGCATTCTCAGGCAGCTGGTTGCTCTGCAGGTCTACTAGAGTGCCATGAGCCTGGGATGGAGGTGTCCCCAGAGCATGCAAAATTCTTGGGACTCCCTTCAATCCCACCAAGAGCTGAATTAAGACCAGGATGGGCAAATTTTGCAAACAACAACAAACGCATGTGGACCTCTAGAGTAGTGGTTCTCAAAGTTTGGTCCCCAGACAAGCAGCAGCAGCAGTCCCCTAAGAACTTGTTAGAAATGCAGATTCTCAGGCCCCGCAAGCCCTACTGGATCAGGAAATCCAGGAGCAGGCTCAGCCTTCTGGGTTTTAACAAGGCCAACCCGCAATCTCATGCTCACTAAGATTTGAGACCCACCATTTAAAGGAACTCAACAAACACTAGTTTAAAAGTGCAGCTGAATGTTGACCTTGTCCTTATAAGCCTAAAATCACAGAGCATTAAAGATGAAAAGACTTGATTTCAAGTGTCTAATCTGGCCTTGAACCTTACTTGTGAAAGATCCAAGTCTCGGAGAAGGAGTGTGACTTGTCCAAGCCCTCCCGGCCAGACTGAGTGAACTCCAAGTAACAATGTACCCAGAGCCTGGGAAATAGTTGTTTTGATGGGCCACACAGTTGCAGCCTTTCTATTTAAAAACAACACAAAACAAAACAACAAAAACACACACACAAAAACAAAAACAAAAGCAACCCCCCCACAGAAATAGATAAAGATAGATAGATAGATAGGTGATAGATAGATAGATATTGTGTTTTCTGTACTCAAGTCAGAACAACATGGTCTGCCTTACGTCAATCTACTTATTTTAAAGTTTTTTATTTTTTACTTTTTGGGGTTGCGGAGGTGCAGCTTCCTAAGGCAGACAGCCCCTGAGGAATGCATCAGTCTTCCCAGGAACGGGAGGCTTTTTTGCAGCCTGATAAATCTTCCTACGCTGAAGCTCTGTTCTGACTTTTGCCATTTCTAATTCACGGGGCCTCCGGGGAGAGGCGGACAGCCGAACTCCGTGCGCACTGGAGCCCCGGCTCCCTCTGCTTCTGGAGAGGGGATTTAGCCTTAATTTTTGTGACAGATGGAGTTGATAGTCTCTCCACGGAAAGGGGAGGAAAAAAGCGCCAGTTTTTGACAGGCCGCAGAAGCCCGGTGCCTCTGGTGGTCGAAGGCTGCGTTGCGCCACAGTTAAGGTAGTTTGCAAACTCCCGCTCCTGGATTGCCCGGGCTGCTCTACCCCGGGAGGCTTCCCTTAACCGAGGGAAGGATTGAAACATACACACTTTAACAGAAACCTTGGTGCGTGCCAATTTATCCCCTTCCTTTATGTTCTGAGTGCGGCCATATGGTGCTGCTCAACATTCCTAAAGATTTTTAATACTATAATTATTTTTTCATCGCCGTCCGAATTAGAAACTTATATCCCTAAAAAATTAATCTGGTTGATTTGGATTTATGTCTTGCAATTGACAATGATGCCTGGCTCAAGAGCCATACCTGCCAGAGCGGCAAAGTGGGACAGTGTGCTGGGGCGGGGGCGTTGTAAATATCTCAACAGCACCCCCCTAACTGAAGTGTGTGCCTCTTTCTTGTGTGCGTTTGGGTTTTGTTTTTCATAAGTTTTAAAGTCCAACATTAAATACTCTGATCCCCCCACCACCACCCCCGCGACACACACATACACACAGCCCCCAACCGTGATCAGGTCTCTAAAACAGGGAACCACAAAAAACAAAGTGAATTCTAAACGCAATCGAAGGCACAGTAGGAGCCAGGGAGAATTAATAAAACTATCAAAAAAAAAAAAGAAAAGAAAAAATAACCCAACAAAAAGGCCTGTGGCAGAGCCGGACGCAAACAGCTGCCCCTGAACCCTGCCCGCTGGTTCTGAGCGCGAGCCTGGGCTCCATATCCGAGCCTCCTTAAGAGTAGGAGGAGCTCCCAGGCCTCTGTCAGGCTCCTTAAGCCGTTCCTTTCAAGCCCTGAATGCTTGAATGTGAGCTGCCCACCACCCTCCCCGCCCTCCCCCACTCCGCAACCCCACTCCACTCCAGCGGCTCGTAAAAAAAAAAAAAAAAAAAAAGTTGGAACAACAACAGACAGGACCAATAGCATCTCGAAAAGCCGGGAAAGGGGGCCGAGCAAAGGGCGAAAGAGAGTGGAGAAAGGAGAAAGCGGGCAGGCTCGGAGCGCGCGGGGCCGGGGCTCGGCGAGCTGGAGAAGCGTTGCTAATGTTTTTGTTTGTTTGCTTTTCCATGCATGCATAATGAGGGGGCACCGCGGCACCACGCGGGGGCTCCCGGCCCACTTTTGTATTTAAAGCCTCGCAGCCAGCGAGTCCGCAGCCGGGCTCAGCGGATCCGCTCCCCGGGCCCCTTGTCACCCGAGAAGCTGCCGCCGAGGGAAGCCCGGGAGCCGCTCCCCGGCCGCGCCGAGTTTCTTGTTCTCCCCGCGCCGCCCGGAAAGGGCTCCCCGGAGCTTGGCGAGGCCGGGGTCGCCGCGGGCGGAGGGGGAGGGGACGCGGGCGTCCGGGCCGCGGGAAGGCGGGCAGCGCACCGACGCGAGCCAGGAAGCGGCGGGATGCGAGAGCCCGCGGCGGCGGCGGCGGCGGTGGCGGCGGCGGCGCGGCGCTGAGCCCTGGAGGAAGGAGCCGCCGCGGCCGCACAACGGATCTGCAGGCGCGGAGCAAAATGCACCCGCGGCGCCGCGAGGTCCTGCAGCACCGCCGCGGCCCCGCGGCCCGCAGCCCCCCGGGGCGACAGTGAGCGCCTCCCGCCACCGCCCGGGGCCGACCGGAGGGGCTCTCCGCGGCTGTGCATTTCTGGGAAACCACCGCAGCCCGAGCGAGCGGGCAGCCGGACCTTCTGCGAGCGGCGCGGCACCAGCGAGCGGCGCGCATGGATTTATGAAAACACTCATGCAAGAAGTTGGCAGGACTGGGGCAAACTTTTCCACCGGCTCCGCGTCCGCCGCTGCCCGCGCCTCGTCTCCTTTCCCCTCCTCGCCCGGCGGCCGCCGCTGCCCGCGATGGTGGCAGGGCTGCTGGGCGGCGGCGGCGGGGCCCGCGCGGGGACCGTGCCGCGCGCCTGGCTGTGCCTGATGGCGCTGCTGCAGCTGCTGGGCTCGGCGCCGCGGGGCTCGGGGCTGGCGCACGGCCGCCGGCTCATCTGCTGGCAGGCGCTGCTGCAGTGCCAGGGGGAGCCGGAGTGCAGCTACGCCTACAACCAGTACGCCGAGGCGTGCGCGCCGGTGCTGGCGCAGCGCGGCGGGGGCGACGCGCCGGGGGCCGCCGCCGCCGCCGCCTTCCCGGCCTCGGCCGCCTCGTTCTCGTCGCGCTGGCGCTGCCCGAGCCACTGCATCTCGGCGCTCATTCAGCTCAACCACACGCGCCGCGGGCCCGCCCTGGAGGACTGTGACTGCGCGCAGGACGAGAACTGCAAGTCCACCAAGCGCGCCATTGAGCCGTGCCTGCCCCGGACGAGCAGCGGCAGCGCGGGCGGCCCGGGCGCGGGCGGGGTCATGGGCTGCACCGAGGCCCGGCGGCGCTGCGACCGCGACAGCCGCTGCAACCTGGCCCTCAGCCGCTACCTGACCTACTGCGGCAAGCTCTTCAACGGGCTGCGCTGCACCGACGAGTGCCGCACGGTCATCGAGGACATGTTGGCTGTGCCCAAGGCGGCGCTGCTCAACGACTGCGTGTGTGACGGCCTGGAGCGGCCCATTTGCGAGTCGGTCAAGGAGAACATGGCCCGCCTGTGCTTCGGGGCTGAGCTGGGGAACGGCCCGGGCAGCAGCGGCTCGGACGGGGGCCTGGACGACTACTACGACGAGGACTACGACGACGAGCAGCGCGCCGGGGGCGCGGGCGGCGAGCAGCTGCTGGACGACGACGACGGCGTCCCGCACCCGCCGCGCCCGGGCGGCGGCGCTGCAGCGGCGGGCGGCCGCGGGGACCTGCCTTACGGGCCCGGGCGCAGGAGCAGCGGCGGTGGCCGCTCGGCGCCCGGAGCCGTCTGGACCCCGCTCGCCTCCATCTTGCTGCTGCTGCTGCTCCCGCGGCTCGCTTAGCCCTCGCGCCCCCCACCGTGGGCTGCTGGAGGGCCGGCGCCGGGGCACCTGTGGCTGGGGGACAGAGGGGATGGTTGGGATCCTTTCCAAAACGTGCTGAGTAGACTCTGCCTAGCGGGTCTCCCCTTCACGACAACCCCCGTGTCCTCTCCCGAACATGACTTCTTGGACATCCTCCCCTGCCCCCATTCCAGGCTCCAGAAACTCCCAGCTCCTCCGCCCTGCAGACACCGGCCTAGCTAGAATTTAGGACGCCCGGGATGGAATGGGCGGGGGGAGGGGGGGGTACGGAACCATAGTCTTGGACTCGGAAGAGAGGATACCGACCTGTGGGGCCCTAAGAGTTTCAAGGGAGGGTGCTTGGAGCAGGAGTTTGAAGGAGGCTTTACGTTTGCAAAAGGGGCTGTTTATTAGCATTTTTGCGGTGCAAGGGGCGGGGGGGGGGAGGTTCGCCGGGTAGGGGGTGGAGTGCCGGTGTCGACTTTTATTATGGCCAGTGAGGACATTGCAATCGTGAGTAAACAGAAAAGTCCCACTTACCGATTCCTGTGTTTACTCTTGGTCAGCGCTCAGAATTCTCCGATTGGGCGGGGGAGGAGGAATGGGAAGGGGTTAATATGCCTGAATTAGTTTTGGAAAACTTTGAGCCCTTGACCTTAATTTCATTGCCACCACTCTGATCTCTTAGCACATTTCCTAGGATTAAGGGTCAAAAAATGCTGATCTAAAGAGTTGCTAGTGGTGTTGAACAATGCAACTTTTTATGTAAAAGAGCTCTGCACTGCCATCTGTGAAAACCTCTTTACGATGTTTGTCTTGTCATTTTTGTTCTTTACATCAAGAAATTGTATGTACAAATATGCGGAGAAAATATATCGCCTCTGCTTTTATCAGGGTGCTAAACCCTGGTACTTCTATATAAAGTGTATTAAAACTGGGATTTGTTACCAGTTGTACTTTGTATATAGAATTTTTATAAAGTGTATGCTTCAGAAATAATTTATTTTTAAAAAAGAAATTAAAATTTTAAATCTGCAGCCACGTTACACCTTTCCTCCCTGAAATGTATAGAATCCGTTTGTCACCGGGGATCCAAACCCACAGTCCATTGTCGAGTGTGCTCTATCTAGAACAGTCTTAAGATGTACAGTGTATTTTATAGATTTGAAGTTAACATTGTTATTTTCAAGAGAATTTATGGACGTTGTAGAAATGTATAAATGCATTTCCAAACTGCCTTAAACATTGTATTTTTATAGACATCCTTAAAAAAAGTGTTATGTTTTAAGTAACTATGGCTTTGTGTATTTTTTGTTATTTGTTTTATTAAAATGTGTACATCAGTAAAGTGTTTTTAAATAATGAATATGGTGTAGTTACTTTCCAGAGTTACATTGTGGTTTACCCAATAATGGGTAAGGAGGGGAGTGGAGGAGCCCCTGGGAATCTATCAACCATCAACTGAAATTAAAATACAGTACAAGACAAGAAATGAGGGTTATTATTTCTGCCTCTAATTTAATGAACAATTAGACATGTGTAAATGAAGCAGCTAAAAAGATATAACCCACTGGCCTGCATTGGTTTTTACGTTTGTGGAGAGAACTCACAAAATCGTGTCTCCCTACATAATCTGGGGATAACCCAGAGGTCTCTCTCCCCTCCCCTCTTTTCTAAGGGGAGCCCCCAAGCCCCTCCTCCAGGAGTGTCCTATCTGGCTACAGACATTCTCCTACAATCAAACATGCCAATAACATCTGTTACCAATAGGTCTTAGGAAACCTGGCACACTGCTTCAAAGTCATTTTCACACTGTGGGTGAAAAAGTACAAAATTTTGTTACAAAACATTCAGGCGGGCAAAAGTAAACACACTGGGGAGACGAACAATCACCAGAACTTGTAATATTGTTGTGAGGAGTTGTTTAGCAGTGGGCTGAAGGCTGGGTTCCTGCCAGAGCTACTGATCTACACTCAAACGCCCTTAGATAAATAATTACACTCTTAAGCTGTGTCGAGTGCTGATACACTTGACCTTGTAAATAGAAATGTTTGCAGTAGGAATAAACTCCGGCATTGGAAAATCTTTTAAACATTAACACAAAAGAGAGCGCTCTGTCCTCTGGGGATTTGAGTCTGAACCTCGCCAAGCTAGGCACTTGCAAGAGGGAAAAAAAGTTTATTTATCTTCTATTCCTGGTGTTTATTTAAAGCTTTTCATTTTAAACACGGTGATTGGAAGGCAAGTCAGGAGTTTAAAAGTCACCACAAATAAACTTTGTCTGAGGGGTCGACAGATTAGCAAGATCTCGTGTCTCTTTATATGATATTAACATGTACTGAGAAAACATAACCAGATTTCTCTGCTGCCTGAAGTAATTAACAAAGCTATGCCCCTTTCCAACTTCCTCCCCCCACCACTCCCACCCCCTACTTTCCAGGTTTCTTTTGCCTCTAACTCGCTCTTTTCCCAGCTTTTCTGGAGGGCTTCGAGGCACTTCTTGTTGGACCTAAAACCAAGATTGGTGTATGTGTAGCATCAGAAAGCCTGAGACAGCTGTAGCATCAGAGAGGCTAGGAGAGTGGTGTGTGGCTGCAATCCCCAGTCACCTGAATGGTTGAGTAAACATATTGTTAAAACAAAGCTGAAAGCGTTGTTTCTTTGGGAAGTGAACAAAGAGTATTCCAAGAGACTTGTAAATGAAATCAGCGTTCTTTACAAACCTCCAGTTAGCAATGCTCCTGCGTTTGTCCTTAAATATATTTAAATCATCTCCATCTCCTGTTATTTTAACACATTCTTGACTAAAAGTTAAGTCTTTGTCCCAGTAAAAGGCCCAGTTTTCCCCAGTAAGAAGTAAAAGGCATTAGCACTAGAAAAGGCCTGATAATTAACTGGTACAATAAACTCACGACTTGATTTTACAGGGTCCTGTCAAAAGCATCTGCCTGGAATAAATCAACACAGCTCGCTGTTGGGGAGAGAGGACACGAGGCTTTATGCTTTCTTCCTTGAAGAGAGTGAACATTGATCGGTGGCTCATTTTAATTTAAACAGTTCTATGCTAGAGCCCAGGAGCCCCCTCGTCCCTCTACAGACCTAGTTGGATTCCAGAACAGGTTGCTGAGATCTTAGAACCTTTGGTTACAGGATTGTATGTTGCCATCTGCACCTAGGCAGAAAGAATTTTTACAGATGTTGACATCTGTAATATCTCACGCTCTCTGGGGACCCTTTTGGAATTTTGGACATTTGAGACGGCCAAATGTCTCATGGAGAATGCCTGGAAGTACCATTACTGAAAGAAAGAGTATCTGGCTTTTCCTGGGGATTCTGGAAAAGTGCCATGCTTCTCAGAAGTCTTCCAGGGTGCAAGGAACTCCCTTAGGATTTCACATAAAATCATGTGTCCTTGAGGCTGGTCCCATTTCCCCCGTTAGCAGGTTTGCATTCTCAGTGACAGTTTATTTGTCTTTGGGGGCACTTCAGTGACAAATGTTTAAGGGAGTGTGGGACAATGGTGGAGAACAAGGAGGCAGTTCATTGAACTGACAGTGACCATACAGTAAATAGAAGGAGGTTCAGGCTTCACTGCTCACCCAAGCACACAGCAACGCTTTTGTTTATGACCACAATGGACATAACATAAGGTCTCTGTTTATTTTTAACAATATATAGCAATGTACGCCAGCCATACACTTATGTGAAGGGGAGAAATGGCTAGAGGGAACTAAATTCTCGTACCATGTAGCAGGACAACCCTGTGCTTAGGCTGGGCCCCCACAAATGTCCATAAGTAAGGGCGCAGCTCTTGGTGCCAACTGCCACAAACGTAAGGGGCCACCACACTCTGACTCATCTGGGGCGCACCACAGCCCTCCCAATTGGGCCCACATGGGTGAAGACACAACTCGGGACCAGTAGCATCTCTCTCGAAGAGTCAAGAGAAAGCACATGGAGTGGGGTGCCCTTCCTCATCACTTCTGCTTTCAAACCCCCACTCCATCCCAGCAGGGCCATGTCATATACAATAAAAGGAAAGAAATGCCGTGAGAACTCTCAGAGACACCAAGCTGTATACTGAAAATCTTTCTACTTTCAAACTTTGGCTTTGAATAATTAGCTTGCTGGGTTCAACTGCGGAAGTTCTCAAATATAACCTCACGTACCTCTTTCGAACCGGTAAAAAGAAAAGTGCACGTTATTTGTTTTATGACCTCTTACACTAAAGGAGCATCTGAAACTGTGTCAGTTGACCCCATTTCTCCCAGCTCCCCAAAGTAAGCTTGTTGGGAGGCAGCCCATTATAGATGCCTTGTAGCTGGAGAGTAGTTCTGGGAGGGCTGGGTTTCCAGTGGGTCTGGCAACCTTGTGAGTTAAGTAAAGTTGGATGTTACTGTATTCTATTTGAGGGATTGTCTCTGCTGGACAGTTGAAAAGGTTCACCCTTGACTATCTGAATGACATAAGTAATGTGCTATTAGCATAAATACCTTCTAAGGCATCCATTTAATCAATTTCTTAAATAACAGAATGATCTACTACAAAATAGTGGACTGTATACACTATATTTTGGCACAAAGATGGTCATTCTCCCACTAGTAACCAGGGGCTCTAAATAAATGATTTCAACAATGTTTTATTAAAGCCCGACAAGAGCCCTCGAGCTGCATTAATCGGGGAGAAGTCGAGTGGCACTTTTGTTATGGAAATGTTAAGCACATAATAGCACTGCCAGACAATGTGCAGCCACTTCATTCTTTCAGCCATGCTGACACCTCTTAAAGAGGAACTGCGGGGAAGGATGTGGGAAAGATTTGCTTTCTGAGGAAGCTTTCAGCTAATATTTCGGAGGGCTACCTCCAAACCCTGTGTAATATGCATGCAACCGAACCCAGAAGGGCAGCTGAGATCCTCAAACGGCTTCCTTCCCTTATTTCGGGGGCTTGGGTTCCATAGAAAAATCAAAAATCTACATTTTTTGACATGGCGTTTGTCAAAATGATATGTTGGTGATTTTTGTAGGGCTACGAGTCCACTTTTACAAAGAGGATCAAAAACTCAAGTGACTCTCAGTGGTATTGATATACAGGATCAGTAGTTTGGATGAGTCCTCCTTAGGCAAACAGTTCGTGGTCAGGTCTGCAAACAGGTG